ATAGATTACTTGCAATCAATGCACATAAAATAAATACTAAAAAAGCTATAGAATAAACCATGTTTGAACATCAATGAGTACAGGGAAGTTCTCTGCGGATGAAAACCTAAAGCATTAAATAAATATTTACAGGTGCAAGACACTTATTTTTACATATATTATCAATATTTTGTTCAATTACTTGTTATTTCTAATTTAATACTCTTTGCTTGTTAAAGAAACAGCAAACATAATACAGTCAAAAGTCGTTAATCCGGACACCCATAATCCGGACCTCAAAGCTACAAACTTTCTGTGCATGCGTCAACGCATAATGCGTTCACGCATGCGCGTAATACCTTTACTAGTGCACATAATACGTTTACGCATGCGCGTTTAATGTATAACGGACGGTATAAGCTAAGCTAAAATTATCTAGTTCAGTTAATGCTGCGTTGTTCCTTAATCTTCTAATTGGATCCGGCTTATTATTTTTTGCACACTGTTAAAACAATTTTATAAAAGTAAGCTTAAACTTTCGATTATGTCAAAAAGGATTTCCGATTCTGGAGCTGCCGAAGGATCTACAAAGCGAAAGCATGTTTCGTTTTGGCAATGTATCATAAGACTGTGAAATAATTTTCAAACAAAAAGTGGAATCGCCGCAAAAAAAGGATAAAGGCATATCCTTTGTTTCTCTAACCATTCCGAAATCTGTTTATCAATTTCACGCTGCTCTACGCGGGGGGGGGGGACGACACGGTGCGCAATGAACTGGAAGTTGATCTGTCATCACTATCCTTATCTTCAGGGCAGATGTTTTTATTTTATTCGGCTTATAATTCCTTGCTAAATGTAGTATTTCATCTCGATGTACTCCGTCTTTGATATGATTTAAATCAAAATCCTCGTCATTATAAATATGACGAATACGCATCAAATAGTTTTCTGGTTGCAATTTTCTAATTTCGACTATGCGTAATGTATGGTTTACGCATGCGCGCGTTGAAAGAAATGTTTAATATAGTAAACAAATAAATTTAAATTTTTTTTTTTTGCAAATTTTTGATACCCCTTTAGATCATAATTGCCTCTTATTTCATAAATTACGGTTTCATATTTTTAATTTTATAATTTCTGCATGCCATCTTAGCAGATTTAAACTGATGATCTATAATCCGGAAAAACCGATAATCCGGAATCGCCGAAGTCTCGACGAGTCTGGATTAAAGACTTTTGACTGTAATATTTTCCGAATGCGTATCCCGATCTACTGCTACGGATAATCCCTTAGCAGGGAAAAAGTATCATGCTGTCCTCCTAGAGAAAGTACGTCATCGGATGACAATCATAACATGGTCTACCATAATAAGCTGTTTCTTCCCTTTTTGGCATTAAGGCTGTTCTCCGAACCTTATCCGAGAAACTTATTAAGAATTAAACACATGCTTAAATACCCATTAAACATATTTCTCATATGTACTTTCTGACTGTGAATAGAAAATTTCGACTAATTAGATAAACAAGCATATAAATTATCAAAGATGAAACAACCTGGACAAGAAAGTTGGAAAATATAAAATAGAGACTGCCAATGCTAATGATTAAAAGTTAAGGAGTGCTTATGGTTCAAAACCATGTACCTCCTCATCAGAATTACATAAAAGCGAGCAGAAATAGGGAAATTGCGTGCGACAGTTAGAAAATATCTTAAAATAGAAAATAAAGCAAGTCATTAAAGATGTTCACCCAGGAAAAGAAAAAGAGATATTGAGCATTGGCATTTCCGTTTCATTGCTGATAATTTCTGGTTTTGAAGTCCATTATTTGGAAAGAAAAAAGGAGGTGATTTTTATAAATGCACAAAAATAAAAAAAAAAAAGCATTCTTTTAGAGTGAAATATACCTGAACATAATATAGAATCCAGCTTAAGGCTGGGATTAAGACTCACGTTTATTCTGCTTCTAATCTAAATTTTTTAGTTATAGTTAGTTAGTACCTTTTCTTAGTTAAATATTAATTAAAATTTTAAGACTAATTTTTTTTTTTTTTTGCACCAAGACTACAACTTCCTCTTTTAAATCTAAATGTTTTCATTACCTAGTGGCAACAGCTCCGAACTTACTTGTTGCTGTGTGATTTGGGTTGTGGTTTGGTTGTTAGTGTAGTTTTGAAGCTGTAAAAAGTTGCATCTAAGGTGATGGTTTTGATGTATTTAAGATGGTTTGTGTATGTACGTAATTAAGATTGGTGTCATCTTGGAGAGCACTGTGTTCCGAAGACAGACTACTTTGGTGTCTGGATATGCGTTTGTTTTTATGATAATTCAAGGGTTTGTGTCAAATTTAATAGGATTGGGCGGAAAGCTAATTATTAAGGAGTAATGAATCATAAACAGATGTTGTTGGTAAGTTTTTATAGCTGTCATTTTAGAGCGATCGAAAAAAGAATTGTGTTTAAATATGATACCTGTCCTTAAATGTCATAGTTTCAACAGTGTGTTCATTATTTGTTTACATAAGAAAAATATGCTGAATTTGTAACACATTTGATATTGAATCATTTTACCTGTTAGTGTTTTTTCTGTGATGCGAAGAATGAAATTTTTGTAAATAGTCTTCGAAATCAGACTCTGGTTGACGAATTTATTTCATATTTTGGAAGAGTAATTATTGATTTATAATTTACAATGTGATGATTACATTGTTCACAAATTTTACTTCAAAAGGTAATATTTTTAGAGAGTGTGAAAAGGTGGAGTTTCTAAAATATCCTCTCTTAATTTTTATAAATTAATTGCATTATTTCCTAAGTAACATATTTAGAAATAACCTCAAACATTTGAAATCTGAAACTTAAATTGCATAATATGAAGGCAACTGACAGGCCAAAATTTCTTTTTTTTTAAACAAAATAAATCTAATTCTAAATAACTAATTAATTTCAATTTTCACATATTAAATATATATCAAAATGTACATAAACATTAACAATCATAATAATGCAAAGAAAAAATTCAAATTCATAATATTTATTTTTTGTCTGTAAGAAAATACATGTAATGTATTTGTGTCGGTTACATTTTGTAATTCAGATGTGCTAGCAGCTGAATGTTAAGTTTTTGGATAGACATTTTTTAAAAATAATTCTAATATATTGGGGGGGGGACATTAAAGAGGTAGAGTAGACTTCAAGGTACCCCTTGTATTATGGCAAAGTTGTTGTTTGATTTATCGCCAAGTTGTGTTTTTTCATTTTATGGTAGCCTGGTATTTGAATGTTTGGAAACCTATTCTGACGTAATCGGGGCATGATTCTGGGAAATTTTTTTAATCATGGGATGTTTTGTAAGTGTTTTGTGGTATGTGTTAAAACCATTTAGATGGATTTAAATGATTTGTAGGAAGAAAGGTTCAGATGTCACTATGTGAAGCGTGATCAAAAGAGTACTGATTTAAAAAAGTCATTTTAGTATGATTGATATTTGATTTTTACGGGGCCCTGGGGTGTACGAAGCAAACTTAAAAATCATGGTAAGTGAATATTTGCTTTTGGTAGTGCTTAAATGTATAACGTGTTTGTCCTTTTTTTATTTATGTCTCTTGAGCATTCCTGTATTCTTTTGTTCTGCTCCTACTAACATGAAGTATGCCCGTTCATAGTATTATACAACTTGGTTTTCTGTATATCACTTTTGAGTAATTCTTTGATGCATCATTCTTGTTACTGCAGTAAATCATGTGTAAAATAGAGCAGTCCTTCGGAAAGTAAATAAAAGGAAATATTTTTTAAAGGTTTTAGCACGGAGAAAATATAAGGATGTTTATATTTATTCCTTTTCTTAAGTGTTATTTTATTGTTTGGTTTAAAATGTATTTTATTGAGATTATGTATTTTTGTTTGCCTATATTGTAGAATTTGGTGCTCCTTTGACTTTTTAAGTGAAAATATATCGATGTGTATATGGACTCGGTAAAGGGAATGTGCAATGCAAGTTTGTGCAATTCGGGGATTTTTTTAATCAGCTCAATATACTTGTATTTTCCAACCTCTTGAAAGTGCATTTTCTACTATCCTGATACCCAATTTGTTTTTTAAATAATATCACCATGATAAAGCATTGCACTATGCGTAATTATTTAAATCGAATACTTTATTGACAATTAGTAGAAGACATTTAACCTGAATTTATTTTAAATTAATATATACAAATGCAATAAAAAATCAAGTTATCAATCTTGGCAATTTTTGGCAGTACATGGATACTGATTTTGTGCAATTCTTTGACTCGTTATTTTTGGCTTGTGACACGCCGATTTTTGCGCCAAAAATCGCCGCTACACAAAGCCAAAATAAACAAGATAAACAATTGCATAAACACGGTATCCATGTACACGTCGACCTATTTTCACTTAAAAAAAATCCCCGAATTGCAGAAAAATGACATTGTGCACTCTTTTGACTTTATCTATATACACGTCGACCTATTTTCACCTGCGCGTAAACACGTATGCGTCAACCGCGACGCATGCGCAGAAAGTTTTTAGCTTTGAGGTCCGGATTATGGGTATCCAAATTAACGACTTTTGACTGTATATATGATGTGATGAAGTTCGTGATAGGAAGTTATATAAATATAAAAATAAGAATGACCATATATTTATTTCAGTTGTTTATTTTGCATAAATAACACTATTTAGACAAGATTTTAGTACAGATATTGATTATAATGTTTCCCTCAAAGAAAAACTTTCTGATGTCATGATATGTATGTATCGTTTGATTTTAAGAAAAGCAAAGTGCAAGAACACAGTTGGCAAGCTATAGTCCAGTTGAAATATATTTACCAAAATCTACATGAGTGCCTGCCATCAGCAAACCTGTCTAGTTAGCAGTCTATCATCTCTCTCTATTGACAGTCACTCTTGTATCTGTCAGCCTGATTTAAACTCTTATTCAGACTCAGAGCTTCCTTATCTTCCTTTCTTACTGTTACAAATAACTGTACATCTTCCAAATGCTCCCGAAAAAATCTGATAGGGACACCACGTGACTTCCTTCTATGGCCAATTAAATTATACACATTTTTTGCTGCACTTCATTTAAACTTATTTCCTTGAATTAATTCTAACTTAAATAACTGAGAAATGTGAAACCCAAAAATTTTCTCTTTACTTTGTACTAGAAAATAAAAATATGTTTAGCAAGCCATACAAAAGATAAAATTTTTAAAGCTTGAGAACATGCTTTTTCAAATAGAGAGACAAAGATTGCAGAGAATTATCTACACCTGGTTAATAAATAACCGCTACAATTAAAATTTGCAAACTGCTTGTTAATTTTCTTCATTTGTTTCTTTTAATTCAAAAAATGTGATGTAATTAAAAACATATAAAAAAGTAGTTATGTCTCTTGAGCATTCCTGTATTCTTTCGTTCTGCTCCTACTAACATGAAGTATGCCCGTTCATAGTATTATACATCTTGGTTTTCTGTATATCACTTTTGAGTAATTCTTTGATGCATCATTCTTGTTACTGCAGTAAATCATGTGTAAAATAGAGAAAAGTCCTTCGGAAAGCTAAATAAAAGGAAATATTTTTAAGGTTTTAGCACGGGCCCCCGCCCCCCCCGCACCCCCCCCCCCCCCCCCCTCCCCCTCCCCCCCCCCCCCACCCCCCCCCCCCCCCCAATATAAGGGATGTTTTATATTTATCTTTTTAAGTTCATTGAGTGTTTTGCAGGTTATAGATACTTTATATCATGTTAGGTGGATAATCTAAATGAATATTTTTAATGCGGGGGGAGCTACTGGACTAAAAGTGCGATCAGATCGGGAAGGGAAAAAAGAAAACTGATTTGGAGAGTCGTTAATTAATCTTAAGAGCAGATTACATTAAATTCTGTTCTTTCTTCCTTTCATCTTTTTGATGGAAAAGGTTGATAATCTAAACTGAATATTTTTAATGCGGGAGCTACTGGAATAAAGTGACGATCAGATCGGGAAAAAAGATAACTTGAATTTGAGAGTGTTAATCATCTTAAGAGCATATTACATTAAATTCTGTCTTTCTTTCCTTTCATCATTTTTTGATGGAAAAGGAAGTAAACAATACTACTTAAGCTCATCTTTTTTACTTTATGGACTGTGAATTTGCAAGTTTGCTTATCTTGTCCACTCATATTTTGAAGTAGACTGAGCAGCTTGTAAATCTAAGCTTGTTTATTCTCTTGTATTTTTCCCTCCTAATCTATCTAACTCTATTCCAAGTATTTGAAAGACATTTTACAGTATAAAGTCTCTAATCCGGACGTCCATTATCCGGAATGATTTATAATCTGGACCTCAAAGCAACAAACTTACGCATGCTCGTTTCATGTGCGCATCCGCTACGCATGCGCATAAAGCCAGTAAAGGTTTATAGTTCAACTGCCTCATCCCTGACCATGAGTGCAAACACGTATGCGCCATTCAGACCGAATTATTCTCAAAATAGGTGGAAGGATGAGGACTTTCTTTCTCTCCAGTAGAACTATTTTTGGAGAAGAGAATACCTTTTACGATGCAGCAAGTAATACCACCCCTTTTGGACGAGTCTACGTGTTTTGGCAGAATGCCAACCAGGGTTACGCTTCAGGCAGTCCAACTATACCCATGTGCACTTCCGATAGTGAAGAAAGTAATAGAGAACGTTATTGAAAATGAAAAAAATTTGATTGACAAGTTATTCTCGACACAGCAAGTACAGGACTTGAACAGTGGAACTTTGTAACCAAACAAGAAATTATGTCTGTTTATAGAATTAAAGAGGAAGTATTAGCACAAAAAATGAAGCAACTTAAACAACTTACATTGATAGAAATGTTTACTCAAGTAAACAAATAATTTTAAGCTTTTTTTTTTAAATTTTGATACCCCTTTAGATCATAATTCCTTTATTTTCATTTATTGTAATTTTATTTTATAATTTCTGCATGCCATCTTACCAGATTTAAATTTTTGATCTATAATCCAGAATCGCCGAAGTCCCGACGAGTGTGGATTACGGACTTTGTACTGTAATTAGCACTCTCTTCACAGTGAGTTTTGTAGTCAGACTGTTCATCATTAATTTTTGTGTATGTCTCATAGATTTGGCATAAATTCTCTTTGACTTAAAAAATTTCTGATTTATTTTTAAAAATTGTTTTATGAAGAAAAATTAACAAAACTGATTACTTTTATGCAATGGTTGGGATATAGTGACTTTCATTGACATTCATTGCACATTATCAGCTTTAGTTAATTTTTATGCTGTAATCTTAAATCTTCTATTCAAGAATTTGCTCTGTTAATTTTGCTCTTGTTCATATCATCTAAGCCTCTAAGAAACTGTGTGTCTCTAAATTTCTTTAATAAACTCTGGAT